ATTCAAAACCTGCCTGGATTCAATCCTGTGCAACCTGCTCTAGGTGTACTTGCTTTGACAAGGGGGTTGGACTAAGTGATCTCCAGCGGTCCCTTGCCATTCTGTGATTCTGAATGAATTTAAGTATAGATTAGTTTTATTTCCTTCCCAGCTCTACCCCTTGCTCTATCTCAGGACACTTTAGTAGAATACCCATCAGGCAGTTCATGTGACACAGAGGTTCTTGACTGTCAGTCACCAAGATGATGAAGGGAGTGGAGCATCTCCCTTATGAGGAAAGGCTGAGGGAGCTGGGTCTCTTTAGCTTGGAGAAGAGGAGACTGAGGGGAGACCTAATTAATGTTTACAAATATGTTAAGGGCAAATGTCATGAGGATGGAGCCAGGCTCTTCTCAGTGATGCCCAATGGTAGGACAAGGGGCAATGGGTGTGAGCTGGAACACAGGAGGTTCCGCTTAAACTTGAGAAGAAACTTCTTTACTGTGAGGGTGACAGAGCACTGGAACAGGCTGCCCAGAGAGGTTGTGGAGTCTCCTTCTCTGGAGACATTCAAGACCCGTCTGGACACTTTCCTGTGTGATCTCATTTAGGTTCCTGCTCCAGCAGGGGGATTGGTCTAGATGATCTTTCGAGGTCCCTTCCAATCCCTGACATTCTGTGATTCTGTGATTCTTGGTTTGAAAACAAATCCTTTTTCCAATATGTTATCCAGAACACCATGAAACTACACCTGCTTAACACTAAAACAGGTTTGAAGATGAGAATTAATAAACACAATTGTGCCTTGCCTATGGAAATACTCTTTTATACAGCCAGGGTTCCTATTCTGATTCAAAACATTTCACCTTTTTTTTCTTCTGTCTCCATATTGTAGTACAAATACCAAGTGAATGTAGACGGGACCGTAGCAGCTTACAGGTTTCCATACCTCTTGCTGGGTGACAGCCTAGTATTGAAGCAAGATTCCCAGTATTATGAACACTTTTATATTGGATTAAAACCATGGAAACATTATGTTCCAGTTAAGAGAAACTTAGAGGACTTATTAGAGAAAATAAAATGGGCTAAGGTAAGTCCCATTCCTAATTCAAGTTCAGAGTGATAAACAAAGATGTAAACAATTTATCCTGATACTCTCTTCTTTTTGTAGTTCCATGTACTATTTTGCATTAACTCTATTGAGATCCTGCGACAGAAGATGTACATTTATTTGTTAGTATAAGATGGAAAGGCCTTAATTCAAGTAACCATCTCTATTCAGGGAAATACTTAAGAATTCATTTTAGGTATGTGCAGAAGTGTTTCATGAATCAGAGCCTTGGTATACTGACTAATGCACATAACTTTCAAAGAAACGCCCAGCATCCTAGATGCTACTTCATTAATTCTATCGCTGTTTTTAGATCCTGACTAGAACAGAAGTCACTGCATGCTCTGTTCGAATGTACAAAAATATCACTGCTCTGTAACATGCTCAGAATAAGAGGCTGGGATTCTGTAATCAAACAAAACGATACAATTGTGTGATTAAAAGCACCGTTTGTGCTTTAAGTTTAACTATCAGGTTAAAAAACACAGAAGTTCCTGAGTTCCTGAGTACTGTAGTTCTTCATAAAGAATCAGATGAGAATACTAAAAGCTTTGAAATACTGATCTAAAAAACTTGAGAGTAAGTACATGACATCAAGCAGAGTTATTTTTAAAAGGAAGACATTGAATTGCATTGCATGGGAGAGGACAACAGCTGTGGCTTTACCTTCTGTAAAACTAAGTGTGTGTGGGCGATGTCAGACCTGATTTTGAAGGGGCTTGTGGCTTGGGCAAAACAGTAGAGCAGTAATCAACTGAATTTTCAAAATTGTACAGTTATCCATAAAAGTTGTTATCGATAGCCCTAAGGTGCCAGTTGTGCCCATAAAAACAATCCAGTATTTTTCAAAACTCTGCAATTTAAAGTGTGCCTTTGCAGTCTACCAGTAATTGCATATAAAGTGTCAGATTTTATTTTATTTAATTTTTGTGTCAGATTTTATTTTATTTTATTTTCCTTGGTTGCCCAAGGAAGTTGCAGATGCCCCCTCCCTGGAAGTGTTTAAGGCCAGGCTGGATGAGGCTTTGAGCAACCTGGTCTAGTGGAAGGTGTCCCTGCTGATGGCAGGTGGGGTGGAACTAGATGATCTGTAAGGTCCCTTCCAACCCAAACCATTCTATGATTCTATGATTTTAATAGCTCCTTTAATATTTTTTTTTGTTTCAGCCAGGCTTTGAGTAACTCACTGATGGTTCTATTATGTATTTGTTTTGTCTCAATTTTCCAGGAAAATGATGAAGATGCAAGAGAAATTGCTAAAGAAGGACAATTAATGGCAAGAGAATTACTTCAGCCTCATAGGCTTTACTGCTACTATTATAAAGTGCTCCAGGTTAGTACAACAGATCACTTCATTACTTTCCCCCAACTGCTACTGCTACTGCTGCTACGGGTTTCATATTCAGTCCTTGCTGATATCAATAGCAGACATGGTTCATATTATTCAGAGGAGATCAGTGTGAAGAGCTTTGCTAAAACTTGCTTCATCATTGAAGAGGCAACCTGACATAATAGTAGTTTTACAGAATCAGATGTTTTAATTTTTTCTTTGCCCCCATCTCCACAGTCTGACCTGTTTTCAATGTCACTTTGGTATGTGGTTTCTAACAGATGTAGGAGACAATCCGTACACAACTTTCTTCCTTTTCCCCTCACGTTTATCCTCTCATGAGCTAATCTGCTGTCTTACAAAACAACGAATACATATAAAAGAAATTCCAGAAGTATGGCTAGTAGAGTGGTAAGGGGTGAAGCAGGCCAAATAGTCACTGCTTCCCTACAAGATGCAGAAAGAAGTTTCTGTTCTCTGAAAGTACTAATTTCTTTTTCCTGTTTTGCTGTGCAGAGTTAGATCTCAGCTTCAGCAGCCACATGTTGACACAAAGTTTGGAACTGTTCAGTGTACAAAAATGACAGCATTATCTGCATAAAGTGGTTAGAGGCACAAATAATTACAATATTCAAATTACCATTAATAATAGGACAGGGGAAAACATTAAAGGAGGTTTTCAGAGGCAATGTAGCCTATTAGTAGGTGTGTTATAAAGAGACCTTGTAAACAGGTTGTAAACAATGACATAAGGAACCTGGATAAAGGCAAGCTTGTGAGTGGAAGGGAGGAGGAAAATTCTGTTTCATGAATTATATGTTGGTGCTTATAGCATTCTTAAATGTTGTTTACATATTTCAGAAATATGCCAAACGCCAAGCCAGCAAACCTGAAATACGGGATGGAATGGAACTTGTACCTCAGCCTGATGACAGAGACTCAGTGTGCAGTTGCCACAGGAAAAAGCCTTTAAGGGAAGATCTATAACTGTACTGGATGGAGAATATCACCCACTTACAATGCAAGAATTTAAATAGGAATTAAGCTGTGAAATCTAAGACACTTATGCACTAGCAAACATTCTTAGTTATGTATTCTTGTATTTACCTATCCTTTTTTACACTGACTCTGATCTGCAACGTTGGTTCCCACAATTTTGTCTCCATGACCACCAGCAGACAGGTACTGAGCCTGTAATGGGGAGCATCTAGGGGATTTGTTTGATGTACTGCATCCTCAGGAAGAAGAGCGCAGTGCTGCTCATGCTCCAGCTGGGACCTAGTTACTAAAGTTTTATGAGGAACCAGTCATCCACAAAAGATCTTCCATGAGTCAGTACAAGTTATTCTAAAGGTGCATTTGCAACATACTAAAACAGTGTTATGATTTCTTCATAGTTGACCTCAGTGTTAGATTGTTTCTTGTATACAAAACAATTTTCTAACTAAACAAAGAAAATGAATATTTGAGATTTTCAGATATCAAATCTGGTGTTGCTTAAAGATTATTTTGTGGTCTATGATGGGTAACAGAATAGAGAACGTGATATAATTATCAATTTCAGAGGAAAATGGAGAGGAGGGGGAGAGATCAGAATAATATTTTTATAACCGCCATGGCTGTGAATCACCGAAATTAAATGCTGCTTTAAAGCAGCCTGTGTAGCTATCAGAATCACACTGAGTGCCAAGACACTGGTCTGAAGACCTGTTCCCTGCCAGTGACCATGTCTGTGAATATAGGCACAGACCCACAGAAGGACTTAGGGACTTCAGGTGAGGCCAGGTGAAATATTCGTGTCTTAGTTCAACAATACAGTCTACAGTATTCTAGGCTACTCGAGTATTCAAACATCTGAAAGTTGTTTTAGAGCACCTTGGTCTAATTTCTGTATAGAGCTAAGGATGCCACCATCTCTTTCACTTGGGTCCAACTGCTTCTTCCTGTGCCTAACTAAGTCCCCAGAGGTATCTTACCCATTTTCTGAATTTAGATCATACCTAACCTTACTGAGATCAGACGTCAGATCAAACTTCATTGTGTTGGTTCAAACATAGGACAGAAAACCTATGATGTTGTGCTTTCTGTGTAATAGTCCAGGGGTTAGAGACCATACTAAGCAACTGGGAAGCCAGTTGTCCTCCTTGGTTTGATTCAAAGCCATTTTTCCAGAGAGTGCCTTAGCTCCAAACTAGAGAAGAGGGCTTCGGGTCTTCCACTGGAGTTGTGCAGCCATGAAGCTAACAATACAGAATTCACAGGGCCAGAAGGATCTGGTCATACCATTGCAATAAAGTGTACTTTGGGTGGGGCAGAGGCAAAATCCTAGTCCTGGATATGGCTCGCAATACCTCTGTTGATTTTTACCCAAGTTTGTCTACCTTAAAATACATAAACAGGCCTGGAAGGAGAGACCAAGACCAGTGCCCACAGGCACCCATTTCTGTCCTCTGCATTTTTGCCTTGGCTAATATAGCCTGCCTGAGCAGCTTCCTACTCAGCTACGCTCAGATAATGTCTTTCATGGGGACCAAATTCTCCCAACACAAAAAATAATGGAAGCGTCCTAAGATGGTGGACTCGTCTGATTGCTTAGGTGCCCGAAGTTTAGTGCCTTACACCTCATGTAGGCTTCATTTTTGGTTCTTACACTGCAAGTTACTCTTATAAAAATACATAAAACAAAATTTCTGCACTAGAACAGGAAGAAAGACTACATTTTTTAGTATTCTAAATATGGAAAGAACTTCAGGTTTCTGAAGAGGTTAGTGCAACTCTTCATCAGTATTTATTAATTATGCCAGTTAAGAAAAAAACCTGCAACATGTTGTTGCTCTACCCATCATCTTCTATGTTCTGGTTCTAAAACTAATATATATAGTGCTTGTGTTTTTATTTAGCATGACAATCAATCCTAGAACTTCAGACTATAAATATATGTTCAGGTCATCTGACATAACATTTTCTACATCAAAATTCAGGGACAGAGTTCCATTGCTGAAACTGACACTTAAAACTGAGTATGTGCTCCTCTTTCCTTCTCTGTGTACAGTCATTGTTACTGTATGACAGCATCTCGTTTTGTGATACTCACCATTATACCATGTGCATTTTATATTCACCAGTGTTTATGAACTGGTGTGCTCAGCAAAGGCAATTAAGCATACCAGATGGTTGAAGCAACACAGTTTTCCACATCTCACACTTGTATTTCAAACCAAAAGTCCAAAAATTATCTGTTTATATTTTTACAAAATGAGAGGGAACAGGGGGAGTCATGACACATACTTTAGGGTTCTTGGGAAATAGCTGTGTAGGAAAACTTCCCTGGCTTGAAACAGAAGTTTTTCAAACTGGAAGAAGGGTCAGATAAAATTTGAATTGTAATGAATATAAATAAATGTGAATATTTCATCCCTCCTTTCTTCCGTCATACAAAGGGACAAAAACTATTTTAAATTCTTCTCTGTTAAGAAGACCTCTTTGCTTTTGTAATACTCGCCTCTTCAAAGCAAAGACTAGTTTGTCACAGAATGCCATGTTACAGATGCTTTTATAGCTTTGAGGCAAGAAATATCCTGAAAAATATGAATACATTCATCTTCCTGCCAAAATTAAAAAACAGTAGAGACATGGTAGAACTTTCATTAAAAGTGCTTAGTCACTTGAGAAAATCTGGTTCAATTTATAACTACAGATCTTCCAAAGATAAAAGAAGGTAAGGCAAGGCCTCTCTTCTTTCCATTGGTGGTACTATATGCGATTTAAATTGTAATGAAAGGCAATTATAGCGATTGCCCCTTCAGGCCAGAAAATGTGTCAGATCTATTTTAGTTTGATGACAGGATGATACCCATTGGCCTAGTGTGTTACAGGAATTGCTAAGTATTTGGTAAAACCTGTTTGTACAAGTGAAGTATAATATATACATTACACAGTATTTTAAGCAATATACATACATTAGAGTTTCTATTATTCTCTGGTAGTTCTTGAACAGCACACAGTAAATCCCTTGTACACCTACCAGTTGGTGCTAATTTCAAAACGTAGTTATCAACACTAGAATTTTGCTACAGTAACTTCAGCTTTTAGTGCACAACGTGGGGTTTAACATAGTGAAATCTGTCCTGTTTTCATCAATGGCAGTCAGTTTTAGCACACTACAGAGCTCATCAGTGATGACAGAGGCAGGGAAATAGTATGTCCTAAAGCCCAGGGCCAATATTTTCAAATATAGGCATCTACATAGAAGTGGTCTGACTTACAAATTGTTGGTCATGTACAGCCTCTACTTAAGTCCACTTAGGTTCCTTATTTTCAAATCTCTTTAAACTTAACAGTAGTTTCGTACAGAGAACACTCCAGAAAATTAGTCCTTTTTGTGTTATGTCATATGTATGTCCTAATATATTTAGACACATTTGGAAATACTCAGTTTAATCTTAAAATGAAAAACAGTAAATCATGACCTGTTAACCATAAAGGAGATATAAATTCAGTACATTTTTAGACTGTATTTTTTATTTACCTCTAGATAACTAATATACTAGTTTCATTACAGTACTGTGCCAGGTCTGCTCTGTAGATTCATAATTAAAAAAACCTATAATCAAAGCTTGCCTGATGGAATGTTAGATTCAAGCATCCATCCTGGGAAGCATACGCCCGACATTTATTACATTAGAAAGTAAATTATTTAGTTAGGGAGGAGAGCTGACAGGGAAAACATATATCACCTGTTTGAGCACGTTCGAGAAGCTTGCAAAGAAATTATAATAAGGAAAAGACGCATTACATAAACCTAGGATATTGTCAGTTCCTTTACCGCTTCAGTCTTTCAAGAGTTTTCTCTACAAGGGCAGTGATGAAGTGCAAGATTTTGCATAAATATATTATTGTTTAAAGTCACAGGATTTAACCACTAGAATCTTCTTCTCTGTGGATACTTTTATAGCATTTTAACGAAGCTATATGAGTAATAATGCTTGGCTTTTGTTTTGAGTTGTTAATAATGTGAGAAAATCTATACTGTAGAGAGTTAGGCACTAATTTTGTGTTTTGCTGTAAGAATAAGGGGAAAGGGATTATTTTGCATGTCTGTCTGAAGACATCTGAGACATCAGTAGCAAGTGCCTTAATCCAGTCCCATCATGTGAGTGGTGATAAGCAAGAGGTGCATTAGCAAGAGTGTGGGCAGCAGGTCAAGGAAGATGTTTCTTCCCTTCTGTTTGGCAGCTGTGACACTGCAACAGGAGCACCGTATTCAATATTGGACTGGCCTATAGAAGAAATACATTGACATGACGGAGCAGGTCCAGCTGAGGACCACCAAGGTGATAAAGGGATTGTGGCACATGATGTACGAGGAGATGCTGAGTGAGCAGGGTTAGGTCAGCCTTAAAAAGAGAAGGCAAGGGGAAGATTACCTTGCTGAACTCTAAAGGGAGGACATAGAAAAGATGAAGCCAGACTTCTGTGAGGTACACAGCAGAAGACTTAGAAACAACAGACACAAGCTGCAACATGGGAAATTCCAATTAGATAAGGGGGAAAAAGTCTTCACACCAACATCCCCAAGGAGATGAAGCTTGGCCTACATGACCTCCAGCTGTTCACTGTTCCACGAACTACATTTCAGTCATACAACAAGCATTCATCTAGTCACATAGCAGGAGGATGAAATCATCCAGCTCTTGAGTGTCTCCAAGATGCAATGTAGCCTTTGTCTGCTGACACTTTTGACACTATTAATGTTTATGTCTCCCTTGATAATATGGGCTAAGTTTTGCAGATATTTTAATGTTGGCTTACAAGGCTATAAAATTATATATTATTACTATATATTAACACAATATACTACAGTTGTGCAGTACACAGAGGAGTTGAGAGAAACAGAATACACTGAATTGGCATTACATGCTTGGACTGATTGAATGTAAGACCTGCTCTTTCCAGAAGCTGAATATACACTTTACATATATGAAACAATTACAAAAGATTTTTGAGTACAGTTACTAACCAAAGTAATTCATTTCAAGCCATCAATGGGAATATTAATGTACTTTTTAAGTAAGTTATCCATATACTTAAATGCCAGCATAGTCTGTAGGCTGCTGGTGAGTGAGCATGATGTATTCCCATCCCACTCCCAACACTAACAGAAGTCAACCGGGATCCATCTGTACCACAGATTTGCAATGTAGCATAGAGATACTCAAGACAGCTCAGCAGAACACCAGAAGGGCCTCCCCGAAGTAGGATAGAGCTTCCCATGGTTACCTT